GACAGAGTCAAATGAGTGCCGCTAATCTTGTGCATCCATTGGCTTCAGCTACTGGGAATTTGCAAACTGCGGTTGAAAATCCCACAACTTCCGCACCAACTTCACCTTCTCCGAAGCAGGATGATGCGGCTCACAGGAAAACTGTTCTTCAGACAGCTATTGGGCAGCGGGAAGAGAAGCTAAAATGCAACAAGGAAATGTTAGTTGGCCACTTTCTTTTTTTTTCAAAAGTGAATTAGCTGGTTATCCATAGTAATGAGAAAAATTGAAAATATATTTCTAACGCAGTGCTTTTTCCAAGGAGATATTTTTTTTATTTTTGAAGGAAGCACCCTTGATTTAAATCACTTTTGTGCCTTCATATGCACAGTTTGCTTCGTTAAGCTCGTCCTCAGTTCTTTTTAGAAAGCCTCTCATTGAAACAAAGGTTTCGAAGTCTTCCGAATTTAGTTCGTTGAGAAAGCAGATAGTTGGTGGATATCGAACCGATGAGTTCTATGTTTATGTCAGAGGAAGGGGTCGTGGTCGATACGTTTGTGATCGATGCGGAATTCGCTGTAAAAAGCCATCTATGCTGAAGAAACATTTAAAGTTGGTTTATTTTCAAGGCTTCCTTTAGGTTTCTCCTTTTTTAGCTATAAGGATTACAGTTATTTGTAGATTTTTTTGATACGGTGCATTTTTGATGCTTTACTGATTATTCGCAGTTTAGGTCACATACCGACATACGACCCTTCACTTGTGCACACTGCAATTTTAGTTTCAAAACGAAAGGAAATTTGACAAAACATCTGCAGTCTAAGGGTCATCGCCGTAGAATCACGGAGCACCAGAAGGAGAGTGATGGAGTGGAAGGTGAAACGGGTAGCTCTGTCAAACAGACGCCCGTCACCGATCCTTTGGATGATTATGACGACGATGACGGGTACAAAAAATTGTTTCCAATATTGCCTTTAAAACTGTTGACTGTTTACTGAATGGGCCACATGCTCGCATGATTTACACGCTTTAGCATTTGGATTTTATAGGTCATCAGATGAGGAGGGCGCAAGAGCGTCAGAAACTTGCATGTTAGACAAAATGTCATTTCGTAAATTTGGACAAGGTACTATTTTCTTTCCCTTTATCCCCATTCCTTCCTCTTCCATGTTCAAGTCAAGTGACGTTTCCTTTTTGTGCTTCACTGTATTTATTTATCTAGCTTTCGTTACTGTTATTGTTTACCGAAGGCGCTTTCAAACAGAATGTTTCAGAAAACATTATTATTGAGCGACAAGCTCACACTCCTCCTACGCTATGGATTCAGGGTAAATCAGAGCATAGTATTGGTGACGTCACAATGTCATATCCTCGTCAGCCGCATAGCGCTCCTCCAGCTTTCCATTACTCTCCAGATGTGAAAAGGCGACGTAGGGTTCCTTCTGGAGCTAAGCCATCTGAAAAAGTAAGAAGTTAGCTTGGTTGTACTTTTAATTTTCTTGTTTTTTTTCAGGTTTTAGTGGAAATTACGGTATTCAGTATTTTTTTGTAGGCAGGAACAGAATCTGCGCAAGACGTTGATACTTCACATCGAGTTAGAACGATGTCAGCTTCAGAAAATCCTCAGTCACTTATTGTTTTCTCTGCTCCAGAAAATCCTGTTTTTGCGCCCTCTTCGAGCACTGTTACACAACCGTCTGTCGGGGCTTTTCTTGCGAAGGAGGTATGTATGGTATATTTAGTTTAAGGAATACAGAGTGGCTTGCAACTTTTTTTAGTATTCTTTGGTAATTTTTTAGGAAATGTCGTGTGAAATGTGCGGAAAAACGTTTCGTAAACCAACCGGGCTTTCGCTTCACAGACAAACTCATATTTTGGAGCAACAGAGTGCCAAAGGTCGGGCTTACCAGTGTACGGAGTGTAAACAAACGCTCCGCTCTCGCACACTATTAACGAAGCATATGGACGTTGCACACAATAGTGCAGAAAGACGTAAATCAGAATTAAATGATTCCGATGTTGGTCAGTTTCCTTATCTTTTTTTTTTTTTTTT